GAGGGCTTGCCGGGGGACAGGGAAGGGCAGTCCTGTCCGGGGTGGAAGAGATGGCACCAGCGTCACTGGTCCAGCGCCTCCACGCCACGATGGAGCAGCGGTCACATTTTCCCCGTGTGAGGACCAAACCGGCGGAGGCCACATGCTCCTCATTTCCAGCTCACGTTCTGGGGCCTGAACCGGAGCTGCGCTGCCTGGGCCGGAGCCCCAGTTCTTGGTTTGGGCTCCGCATCCAACCCACTTGGCCACCTCACCCCTAAGGAGCCAGAGGAAAACTGTCGAATATTCTTCGCTTCATTTTAGAAACCAAACCATTGAGCTTCCAGGTCCCCGAGTGGGGTGGCTTCCTGCAGATGGAACCTGTGAGCACATATGGCAGGTTGGACTGGGCGGGACCTTTCTCCCGTAGCCTGTCTCTTCTCTAACGGGTCCTTCTCAGATCCCTCACTGGCCGGGACTCCGCCAGTCTTCCCATTTCCCAGATAAGGTAACGGGCGCAGGTGGGCGGGCAGCACATCTCTCTCTCTCTCTCTCTCTCTCTCTCTCTCTCTCTCTCTCTCTCCTCTCTCTCTCTCTCTCTCACTTGCTCCTCTCCTCATTAGAAACACAATGTAATTAAGTGCTCCCGGCTCACCATAATTCAAAATGCATCTGACACCACCATCTACCCAGGACGCCATCCGTCACGGAGTGCTGACAGGGAAGCTGCCCACGTGGCAGGTGTGCGACCTGAGCGTCTGCCTCCATCAGTGCCGTGCGTGCTGCCCCTCCATCATCTCCCCCAGGAGACGTCTCCGCAACAATGTTCAGAGGGAGGCCAAGGGCTGCGTTATCTTCCTTATCACAGCACACGCTACATGCCTGTGCCCGGCACAGCCCAGGCGATGCCAGACCAGGCAAGTGTGGCCTGGGGACCGGAGGGAGGTCACTGTCAGCTTCAGGGGGCTCGTGGCCACCACTCGTCTGCGCAGCACCTGACAATGTGCACAGTGCTCCGTCTCTGTGTGCTCATCTGTGCCCACACCTTCCCTAGAGATCCCCACCATCACCACCCATTTCACAGATGGGGACACCGAGGCTCAGAGATGTGGGGCGATGTGCCGAGATAACCCCTCCAGGCCCAGTGGAGGCAGGACTTGACCCCAGATCTTCTGATTTCACATCCCTAAGATCTTTATATTACAGATGTCTCTGCACTCATTCGTTCATTCATTCACTCAGCACATGCAGAGAGCACCTGCCTCGGGCCAGGTGCTGTGATGGGTGCGGGAGGAAATGGTGGTGGAGACCACTGGGGGCTCTGCTCCCTTGGACCCAGAGCAGAGTATCCCCCCCCTGAATGCCTTGCCCTCAGGGGACATGGGCCAAGTCTGGAGACTTCTCAGGTTGTCACAAATGGGAGATGCCACTGGCACCTGGTAGGTGGCGGCAGGGGCTGCTGGTACACAGGACAGTCCCCCAAAGGAGTCAGCCATCCCTCATGTTGGTGGTGCTGCGGTGAGAAACCCTGGCCCAGGATACACTGAAAACAGAATTAGTCAAATTATCGCCTAATGATATGACCACAGAGAAAGGAGAACATGTAACAGACATGCTGATGCTTGTATAGCACTCAGAGTCATGCTGGGCTCCAAGTGTCTTTTACCAACATTAACTCATTGAGTCCTCAACAGCCTGTGGGGTGGAATTACTATCACCTCCACTTAGAGGAGAAAACAGGCCCAGAGGGGTTAAGTCCTTGTCCAGAGTCACACAGCTGTGAAAGTGTTGGATAGGGATTTGAATGGAGCCCCGTAGGACCCAGGACCCTTTTCCATGCCTTTGGCCTCCCCACCTCCCTGCCTCCTGTGAGACAAAGGGAATTGTGGTTTGGGGTTGAGGAAAGCATTGTGGGGGAAGGGACGCAGGACAGGAAATGCAGGAAACCTGGGTGGGGGGAGAGTGTTCCTGGGGGGTGAGGGGAGAGCGTTCCCATTGCAGGGAATAACATGTGCAAAAGCCTTGGGAAAAGGCCATAGGAACGGATTGGAAGGGAAGGCGATGAGGGAAAGGGGCACAGCGGGGGAGGAGGGGCGCTGCAGGGCCCAGCTGGGATATGGTTGTCACAGCTTCCACTGCTGGGTGTGCAGGGATGGTGGGTCCTGAGCAGAGCAGCGCCGGGCCTGGCTTGGACTCTGAGGCCCCCTGGTTGCCAGGCCCAGAGGGCTGCCAGTGGGCATGAGTGCGGGGAGGACAGGGCAGGAGGGCACTGCAGGGCTCAGAGAAGGGCTGGCACGGGGGCAGAGGGCAGAGGGCAGAGAGAGAACTATTAGGAGGCAAACTGTAGGCGGTCAGAGGGGTGATGGACAGGCTGGCGCAGGTGGTAGGTCATGCTCACCATTGGGGCCAGGTCTTGGGGACTAGCCTGCAGGTGACTGTGGACAGCCCTAAGGCCTCTGGGCAGGGCCTCTGAGTGGGGCCGCTGGGCTGGGCGCTGGGCGGGGCCGCTGGGCTGGGCACCCTCCTTGGACCCGAGAGGCCGCGCCCCTGCCCAGGGTCCCAGTCGCAAAGCCCAGAAGCCGTGATGCTGTGCGTGGCTCTGTGACAGTCCTGTTTGCCTGGCAGATGCCTCAGACTCAGATAATTAATGTCAGCGGCTGTCACCGGGCTGGCTAATCACGGTGCGTGGGGACACTGGTCGATGAGCAGCCGGGGACCTGTCAGGCCTGGGAAAGGCGCATCCAGCCTGGGCCCAGCCTGGGAGGGCCCTGCATTTCAGCAAGTCTGCTCTGCCTGTGCTGCAGTCTTTATCCCTGGGAGACGCGGCTCAAGGTCGCGGCTGCAGCCCAAGGACCCTGCTGGGCGGGAGGAGAAGGAGGGAAGGGTGTTTGCTCCCACAGGTGCAGACACCGCCCTCTTCTCCTCCTGCAGCCACCACAGCAACGCCCTGTGTCAGGCTCAGTGCCGCGCCAACATGCAGACAATCCGGGGGTTTGCACAGGACTGAGGGCCACAGCAGCCACGCGGGCACACTCGTGACTCCCAGACATTTCAGCCGGGCCTGTCTCTGCCGGGGGGCGCAGTTCCCTCTGAGGGAGCAGCGTCTTCCTCTCCAGCGTCCACACCACCGCCACCGACCACAAGGTTCACCCCCTCACACCCTTCCGAGGAGCTGGCACTGCCTCTGTGCCCCACCAACACACTGCATGAACCTCCAGGGCTTGCCTGCCTGCCTCCCTCCCTCCCTCCCTCCCTCCCTCCCTCCCTCCCTCCTTCCTCCTTCCCTCCCTCCCTTCCTTCCTTCCTTCCTTCCTTCCTTCCTTCCTTCCTTCCTTCCTTCCTTCCTTCCTTCCTTCCTTCCTTCCACAGCTCAGTATTGAGCTCCTGCAGGCCTGACTCTGTGAGGAAACACGGCCTCGCCAGGCGGACACGCTGGTCTGAGCACAGTCTGCAGGGCGAGGCTGCACCGAGTGAAGAGGATGCAGAGAACTAGTTAATTAAGTCCTCTCCATGACGCGTTTGGTTGTCTGTCTCCATCTCTCCTTCTTCCCCTTTCATTTCTGAATGGGTGATGCATTCATATTGTTTGGAAATCTAAAGGCATAAAAAAAAGTTGGAATGAATATACCCCCTTCCCTGCCCTCCCCTCCCCTGTCACCACTGGGTGAGTCTCCCAGGCACCCTTCCAGCCTCGCTTTACCCAAATGCTAGCACACGTGAATGCGTTTTCCTCTCCCTCCTTTGAGTGCGGAGGGAACGGACAGGGCCTGCTGGAGAAAGGGAGGGGAAGGGGTTAGGGAAGCTGGAGTTGAGGCCTGTGGTCCTGGGCAGCAGTGAGGGCCTTGAATGCCGCCCAAGGATCTCTTGGGCGTGGTCACTTGGGTTACTTAAATATTCCTCCACGTCACGGCACTTTCAAGGCAACTGCAAACCCAGCTTGAGTTACCGGGAGCTGTCCACCGACTTTATTACAAACACAGCGACAGCCGTCCCGGCCCGGCCCCGCCAGAAATGAAGAAAAATGAAACTTGAAGCAAAGGTAGCACAGGAATCGGTGTCACATGCTAGCTAGCTGCCTCTCCTGTTTTCTCCTTAATTTATTTTCTGAAAAACACTCACTGGCTCACCGAATAGCTCCCTTCCCTTTGTCAGCAGCCAGCCCTCGGAACCAAATTGCTGGCTAAAAATAATGTATTTTTATTAAAAACCACTCTAAGTGGGCGCCTGTTCTGAGACAGGCGTGCGTGCGGATGACCGTACGGCGCCTCGTGCTGCAGATAAGTGATGAATTATTTTAATCAGAAATGGATTTAACAGCCCCGCAAAAATAAATTTGGGAGATTTTTCACAATCGGGCTGTCTTTCCCGGTCCCTCGTATTTATATTTAGTATTCAATGAAGACTAATAGTGACGACCGGACCTCAATCAGACGCCCACAAAGCGGAGGCATCCCACCCGCAATAAAGACCGACCTCCCCTCTCGCCACTCGGGGACCTTCCAGGCTCCGGGGCAGAGTGGGACGGAACCGCGTGCACAGAGGCTTCCTCCCGAACCGGCAGCGGCGCCCTTGCTGTGAGCAGGGGAGCACGGTGCGGTGTGCCCTCTGTCATCAGCTAACACTGTGGACTTGACACCCATTGTGTGCAGACACTGCACCGGGAAGACAGGACCCAAAGCGTGCCGAAGGGCTCAGCCGCCTGGGCCTCTGGCCGATTCCACTGGAAGCAAGAGGGACTCTGGCTACACCACTGAGCTGGTGTCGTTTTTCTTTTTTAAAATATTTTTATTGATTTCAGAGAGGAAGGGAGAGGGGGAGACAGAAACATCAAGGATGAGAGAGAATCATCGATCGGCTGCCTCCTGTACACCCCCCATTGGGGATGGAGTCTGCAACCCGCGCATGTGTCCTGACTAGTAATCAAACTGTGACCTCTGGTTCATAGGTAAACGCTCAACCACTGAGCCACGCCTATTTCATGTCCCAAAGCAGCAATTTTCTACAGGTGTGCCACAAGAAACTTTAAGGCAGTGGTTCTCAACCTGTGGGTCGCGACCCTTATGGGGGTTGAACGACCCTTTCACAGAGGTCACCTAAGACCATCGGAAAACACAAGTATTTACATTACAATTCAAAACAGTAGCAAAATTACAGTTATGAAGTAGCAACGAAAATAATTTTATGGTTGGGGATCACCACAGCATGAGGAACTGTGTTAAAGGGTCGCGGCATTAGGAAGGTTGAGAATCACTGCTTTAAAACATGCAATACCTTCCTATTTAGTCAGGGCCCTGACCTCTTTTCCCTTAGATGTCAAATGAAAAAATGACAACAGCCAACACAACAATAGCCATTCGGTGCAAATGAATCCAAATGATACCTCTCTATATACTTTTCCGTGTGCCACAGCATTTTGGTAATTCGTTTGTGTGCCACCAAATGGAAAAGGTTACAATCACTGTCCCAGAGGAAAGCCCCTCCGTGGCCTTTGGAAACACAAGTGGCAGGCCCAGGGACATGGGGAGAGCCGATGATGGAGACAGCCTATCCGTTAGGAGCTGGGAGTGTCAGCAACAGAAACAGATGTGGCTGGTGGGCCCCATCGCGGCCCGCACATGACCTTGGATCTCACCGAGTACCCTGGAATGTGGTCCACGTCTCAGTAGCTGCAGTAGGTTCTTAGCACGTCGCTGACTCACTCAGCTCTCACGGGAGTCCGGGCCCAGCGATTATCTGGCGGTGACATGTAGCTACAATGGCCACGCGTAGTTTTCACATGTCTGTCTTTATGGCTACTTTTTGCTGGAGGCAAGTAATACCAGTTCTTCATGTACAGTACTGATCTCAAGTGTCCTTTAAAAATACATTTTTGGAGATAATGGATCAAATGAAAGATGATATGTATGTTATTAATAGGACAGGGAGTGAAAAATGGCAAAAGCCAGGAAGGTGGCATTCAATTGAGTAAATAGACCTCATTCACATTGATTTTGGGGTGAGGAGGGCACTGAGGGTGAGACAAGGAGGGGAAGCATTCGATAGGTGCTGTTTGTCCTAAGGATTTCAGGTACCTCACACCAGTTAATTGAGCTCCAGCTCAGCTTATCAACCTGAGGTCAATACCACCCCCTCCTCCCGCCCAAGTCCCTGCTGTAAGGCTGCCCGGGAGGACCAGGAGGGAGCACGAGACTCGCCCTGCAGCCCCAGCTCGATGCCCATCGGTATCAGCACTGCCGGCCATGCTGGTCGTGGCTCTGCCTCATTCTAGGGGCGCAGAGAAGGAAGGGCCTTCTTCCCAAGGTTCTGGCTGCCGCTGAGTCTGGGGACTCACCCAGCAGAGTCTATGCACCATTTTCTCCACTAAACCAGTATCACCAGCTATTGTTGATCAAGACATCGCTCAGGTGGACGGGCTGACATGAGCAGCTGGGATTAATATGCTTTTCCCACCTTCCATTTATTTGGAGAATCTCATTAAGGCAGGTTTCCTTCAGGAAATTGATGCTTTAATATTCTGCATTGTCAGCTGAGGGCCTGGATTTTATTCCTCAAATAACATTTAATTAAATGTGCAGGCTCCTTTCCCTGACGCATCAGTGATCAGCGCTGGCCCAACTCGCTGCTCTTTGGAAAGTCAGCAGAAAGCCAAGTCGGGGCCAGAGGCCTGCAGCCATCAAGTTTACGGCCTGCACTGTGCTCGGCTGTGCTCGGCTGCAGTGAATGTCCACAGTCCTGTGGCCACAGGCCAGTGGGTACCTTGACCAAGGACAGCCATTTGCAAATTCTGGTCCCTGGACTGTAACTTGCATTTTGTCCAAGAGGAATCCCAGAGGGGCCTCTCCCAGGCCAGGACCCAGGGCCAGACCTGGCCACAGCCGCATTTTGTGAATAAAACTTCATTGGAACACAGCTACACCCACCTGCTATGCACTCTCTACGGCTGCCTCCGGATGTAACAGCTGACTGCAGACCTGTGGCAGAGCAGAGGGGAGGACTGAGCATCCCCTGGCTGCCTGGGTTTTCTTCAGTTGAGTTGCTGCTCTATGTCAAGCATTCTACATACTTCATCTAATTTCAAGCATTTTTTCAGCAACTATTCACCCAGCACCCACTCTGACAGAGTTTAGGTGTGAGGGTGAAATGCTGGACAAGATAAGGGAGGAACCAACTTTATTTGACAAAGGAGAGAGACAATGGCCAAGCAAGAGCCCAGAACCTATCTAATAATAGAGTAATATGCAAATTAACCATCACTCCACCACAAAAATGGTGGCCCCCATAGCCACAAGATGGCGGTGCCCAGTCCCCTCAGCCCCACTGCTGGAGTGTCCAGTCTGTCTGCAGGAGTGGATCCAGTCTTCCCAGTCCACCACTGCTGCAGTGTCTGGGCCTGTCATCCCCACTGGGGTTGGGGGGGACCAAGCATGAGGCTTGATCCACTCCAGACACATCAGACAGAGCCCAGACAACAGGGCTTGGAGTTTCCTTAGTGCTGTAGTGATGGGGAAGTCCCCAGACATGGCAGACAGAGCTCAGACAGCAGGGCTTGGGAGCTTCCTTAACAAGGTGGCAGAGGGAATACCCCCAGGCCCCACAGACAGAGCCAGGACAACAGGGCATGGGGGCTTCCTTAGTGTATTGGTGTCAGCGAAGCCCCCAGGCTTGGAAGACAGAGCACACTGCAGGGCATTGGGGCTTCCTTCACATGGCACATGGCAAGGCAGGCAGAGAGCAGACAGCAGGGCATGGGGGCTTCATCTCCATGGCTGCAGCAAAACCTCCAGGCTCTGCAGAGAGCAGAGAACCACGGGGAGTGAGCCTGAGCCATCAGTAGGACATCCCTTGAGAGCTTCTGGATGGTAGAGGGTGCAGGTTGGGCTTAGAGACCTCTGTGCACAATTTTGTGCACTAGGCCTCTAGTCTTATATAATAAAAGGCTAATATGCAAATCGACCAAATGGTGAAATGACTGGTCGCTATGACATGCACTGACCACCAGGGGGCAGACATGCAATTCAGGAGCTGCTCCTTGGTGGTCAGTGCGCTCCCAAAGGGACAGTGCTGCTCAGCCAGAAGCTGGGCTCACGGCTAGCAAGCACAGTGGTGGTAGTGGGAGCCTCTCTCATCTCCACTGCAGCACTAAGGATGACTGACTGATGGCTTAGGCCTGGGGAGAGCAAGCCTAAGCCAGCAGTCAGGCATCCCCTGAGGGCTCTTGGGCTGTGAGAGGGCACAGGCCAAGCTGATGGATCCCCCAAAGAGCATGAATTTTGTGCACCGGACCTTTAGTAAATGTATAGGCAAGAGTGCTTCAGATGGCAACACAGATCCTGGAGAAATAAGTCAGATCAATAAAGCACAAGGGTGTGTATGTGTGGCATACACTTGGTGATCAGGGAGGGCTTCTCTGAGGAGGCGACATTTGAGTTGAACTGTGAATGATGGTTAGGAGCATAACTAAGAGGGGATGAGCTAATGCAAAGGCCACTGGGAACTGGGAACAGAGGTAGGATTGAAGGGAGATGGGTGGAAGTGTGGTCAGAAGGTGGGGAATGTGATATGGGGCTCAGAGGGCTGTGCCATGGTGTTTGGACTTTATTATAACTACTAGAGGCCTGGTGCATGAAATTCGTGCAAATAAAGTTGGGTCCTCCCTAGGCCTGGCTGGCTATCAGGGCAAATTTGTGGGGCAACTGACTGGGTGATTGGGGGGCCCCTGCTGGCACCTGTCTTGACCAGCCTGTGGCCTGTGGGCTGGGGGCAGCTCCTGCATTGAGCATCTGCCCCTTGGTGGTCAGTGTGTGTCATAGCGACAGGTTGTTCCACTGTTTGGTCGACTTGCATATTACGCTTTATTATATAGGATGATATGGGAATACTAACCTAATTTACTCAAAAAATTTATTTTCCACGACATAATAATGAGATTGGTATTTTATAACATTCTTCCTCTGATTTTTTTTTTCCTTTCTGTTACAAAAGCTCTTATTGTCTTTTAGATAAAGGAGCTCAGAGCTGTTGAAGCTGTGAGGGCCCTTGCTCAGGCTCAGCCTGTGAAGCGAGTGGCAGAGGGGAGCTGGGCCCGCTCTGTGGGACCTGAGACCGTGGCTCTGCAGCCCTCTCAGGAGGACGGGGATGGACTGTGCTGGGCCTGCAGGCCATGTGGGTGCCTGACATCTCACATAATCCCAAGCCCCTGGCCCATTCCTGGCTGGGCACCTTGGAGCAAGTCAAAATCTCTCTGCATCCCAGCTTCTTAAACCTGTAAAATGGGTGGATAACGCTCCTCCCTGGGAGAGGATGAAATATGACAACATGCCTAAACAGGCTGAGAGATGTAAGATTTTAGGGACTATCCATCTCTTCCTTCCCCACCCCTGAGTGTGGAAAGAACAGGAGGAGGAGGAGGAGGGAGAGGAGGCAGAGAGGAGAAGGAGGGGGAGAGGAGGGAAATGTGGTGCGTGGTTTACAAAGTGGAGAAAGAAACCTGCTGATAAGAAAACTGAGACGCGGGCAGGGGAGGCCCCGAGCCTAGTCCTCGAGGTTTTAGCCTCCGGTTCTTCCACCAGCTGCAGTGTGGGGGTCTGTGGGAGCAGGAGGAAACCAACACGAGGCTCTGGCTCTCCTTCGGTGCCTGCACAGAGTGCAGAACTAGCTCCCTCTCTAAGGCGGTGTCTCCCATCCCGGCTGCTCACGGGCCAGGAGAGCCACCAGAAGCCTTCCACCGGCCTTACCGTGCTCCAGGCTGGCTCAGCCTCCGCAGGCCAGTCAGTGTCTGGGGCTGAGGCTTGGGCCTATACCTTTAAAAAGCTTTCCATGTTCCTCCAACCTGCAGTGGCCAAAACAGACAAGTCTTCACTGCAATATTGGGCATGAGTGATGAAGGCAGGAGGCCCCGTGGACCTGTAAGTTCCATGATTCCCTCCCTCCTGCCCTTCTCTCCTTTCTATACCCACACATCAGCGAAACAAGCAAGTATGGTGCTGAAGCCAAGAGGCACTGTCACCAAAAGGACCTTCAAGCACTGCATAATCCCCCTCCCCATCACAGACATGGGACTTTGTTCTTAGAAGCAAATGGAGGTTTTATTTTCACTTTATTTAGCTCACAGCCAGAACTTAACCCCAGGTACAGCCTGGGCATCGTT